AAACTCTTTGGAAGGTTCGAAATAGATGAACATTTCAACCTAGCAGACCACTATTATAATATTCATGCAGTCATTGTTCACTGTGGTTCTGGCGTTGAATTTGGTCATTATTAAGCCTTGGTCAAAGAAGAAACGGACTGGTTTAAGTTTGACGATAGTCGTGTCACGAAGTGTTCTGGCGATGCATTTAATTTATTGGAGCCTATGGCTCCATTGTCAGATCAAGATCATCAGATGATGTGGTGCTGCAGGTTTTTCTGGGTTTTTCTGCAGCTGAAAAAGCAAATGCGCCACTGGAATCGATGAAGTCGCCCCGGAGCGCCAATTAATTTTATTCTTGTTTTAATTTTATTTTTATCGTTGTCTGTATATTCTATACAGTTCAGTGACTAGGAAATGGGAATCTATTATTTGATTGTAATTGCTATTTTTAAAAAACCCCAAAAACTATACGCCTATGAATAATCAGCCCTCGGGATGAAGAAATTGATCTAATTATTACTGAACTCAAAAATGCTGTTGAAAACATTCTTTGTTTTTCATGTTACATACGAGAGGGGTAACTTAAGAGTCTAAAGGTGGTAGACTTTGAATATTTCAAAGAGCTGAATCGTGGAAAATGACTACGAATTCAAAAATGTTCAAAATAATTTGCTTCAAACAACATTCCTTCAAAATATCAAGACATATGCTCCAAATAATTTCCCTAAAAATAAGTAGCGAGCTCGAATAGGATTGAAATCAACATAGTAATTCAAAAACTTACTTTTCAAGATGAAGACACCAACACCATGAACTCATAGTGGCACTGAGTGACTATATATATCGAATGAATTTTCTGTACGAGGTCTGTTCAGAAAATTAGGTGAATGTTTATATTTCGCGGGCTACGTACATTCACTTGGTTACATCAGTACACTTGTCTCGAACATATATTCACAGTTTCATCTATCTAGCATATTGAATGTTTGGTGAAAGGCATTTTGCGAGTTTGGCGATTTTCTGCTATCGAAAAAAAGGATCAAAGAAATCAGATTTTATGTAAAAAATGGAATTGAGTGCTCAAAAACACTTGAAGAGTTTACAGTGGCATACGGTGATTTTACTCTCAGTAAAATCATTATAAGTGGTACAAGCTTTTCACAGAAGGTCTAGAAGAACAACACCGTAATCATTCCTCACAAGTGTATATCTGAGAGGACTACTTCGAAGGGGACAAAATAGAAATTGATGAATGAATAAATATGTTTTGACATATTACCTCATCTTTTGAACACACCTCGTATGTTCCCCGTCCCATTTACACTATTGACATGTTCATCCAATGTTCATCGCGATTTGGGATTGTTTATATTAATGTCTGTGATTTTTACATAACCGATAAACAAGTTGTAATTATTCAACTTGTTTAATTAGCTTATAGTCTCCATTTTCAGACGAAAAATAATCGATAACCTGTAGATAAACTAAATGAAGATATACAACTCAATATTTTAGTCAGCTAAGCCGTTGACAACAATGAAAGAAATACGATTTTACCTTAAAAGAGAAGCCCGAGGAAAATTCATAAAATTATGTATACAGGATATGTTTAATAATCAATGGTTTGAAGAAAAAATATTATGCTACATACTGAATGTTAACGGAAAAGTAGCATCATTTGTTTTGCTATCAGAAATGGATGATAATCTCTCAAAATTGCATAGAAACCCCAAAATGATGAATAATATTTTCTCACGACCTGAAAATCGACACAAAGCCTACAAAAGGAAACTGAGAGCATTTGAGAAAACAGGAAATTCAATTTATAGCGTTCTGTAATAGTCTAGATTCAAAAAACGTGTTTGAAAAATATTATTGTAAACATATCAATGGAATTGTATTCATGAATATTCCCAAGTATGCTTTTTTAATTTATAAATAATTCCTTCCTATACGTTAGTCACCCCATCCCCTTTCCGAACCTACTCACCCTGTTGAGTGCGAAGAATCATATAGAAAAACTGAGATATTTTCTTTGGACTTTTACAGTTTTATTTTTTTTATTCCAAAAACAATTGTCCTCTCTTCGGTGTAAACAAACTTGTAACTAACAAAATCAAATTGACATAAAATATACAGCATGTAATAAAATAACAAACGATGCTGCAACTCTCGAACTCCAGTATTCTCCCACGTTTTGCAATGTTGAATTGCAAAACAGCTAACTCATATATCGATCAGGAATCTTGACCAATCGTCCTGACCTAGTACACACAGGGACGGATTTCTCTGGAACCCTTTCTTCTCCTGTAGTTGAAGATTGTTTGCTTTCCTGATTTGGATGATCTTCTTTGGTTGTTTCGTCTCCATACGGAGTTACTGAATTTGAAATGGGTCGTTTTACGAGTTTGCCTAGTATTTCTGGTTCTCCATTAGAGTTTGAAATTTCTAGTGGGTAGATTCGTAGAAACGGACGTATGAATTCACCTGTAGTTGTTTGAAGGTGATTGACAATGTTTCATGATGAATTTTACTAGTTCGGACGGGATTTGAAATCCTTGAAAAAAATAAAAAAGAAGAATTAAAAATGAGTTAGCTGAAAAATAATAATTATATTAACCAAAATAAACCTAAAATGAAATAATCAAGATCCCACCTGCAGATAAAGGAAACGCTAGTGTGGTAATGGATACCGTTCTCTACGAACAGAAGATCGAAGAGGTTCTTCAGAAGGGACGATTCATAAAGATCGTACGGGACCCTACTGCATCAATCGAAAGGAAGTTGTACCAGATTTTGAAAAAACACCAAGTCTATTTTTCGGACAAGGAAAGATCATCGCTAACACCGCACCACAGTAAGCCCCCTCACTTGTATGGACTACCCAAAATCCACAAGAAGGACGTTCCGCTTAGATCGATCATCAGCTCCAGAGATTCGGCTACTCAAAACTTATCTAGATTTTTACTTCCCTTAATACAACCATTACAAGGAAAAACATCGTCTTTCGTGAAGAATTCAAGGCATTTTGTCGAACTACTAGGGTCAATTGAGGTCACACAGGAAGATCAACTAATTAGTTTCGACGTGGAAAGCCTTTACACCAACGTTCCGGTCGAAGAAGCACTCCAAATCATACAGAGAAAGCTATCCGAAGACGGGAACCTGAAAGAGAGAACGAATCTACCTATAGAAGTAATCATGGAATTACTAGGATGCTGTGTACGTAACTGTTATTTCCAACTGAAAGACGAATTCTTTACACAAGACGAGGGACTGCCAATGGGTTCGCCACTATCACCAGTCATAGCCAACATATATATGGAGTGGTTTCAAACTCTAGCCATTGAAGAAGCCCACAAGAAACCGCGAGTCTGGTTGAGATATGTTAACGACACCTTCATAATATGGAACCATGGGAATACTGAACTAGACGACTTCCTGAAACACATCAACAGCGTGAGACCTTCCATCAATTTCACAATGGAAAAGGAAATCCACAATGAATTGCCATTCTTAGACGTTTTGGGGAAGAGGAGCGACACTAAGTGGAAAACATCTGTATACCGAAAACCCACTGATACGGGGCAGTATCTGAACCACGAATCCAACCACCATCAATCGACTAAAAGAGGAATCATCAAGACTCTATTAGACCGTGCTTTTGGGCTCTGTAATACGAAGGAAGGTCTCAAGAAGGAACTAGACATCATCAACAATGATCTTCAACGGAATGGCTACTCCAAAGCGATGGTAGAAAAGGTTTTGGCTAGAATACAGCAGTAGCCTCGCAAGGAAGAGAAGCACAACCACTGCTTGCACTTCCCTACATCAGAGGATTATCGGAGAGGATAAGAAGAATTGGTTCCAAGTACAACATCAGAACCTGCTTCAGATCCGGTAACACAATCCGTAGCAGCCTTACGAAAACCACGCCATCAAACGTGGACTGCGATTCCAAGAATTGCATTTACCGGATACCCTGTGAGTGCGGAAAATCCTATATTGGTGAAACTAAGAGGCCATTGAATGTTCGCATTGCCGAGCACAAGGAACACACACAGCGAGGGGAAACCAGCAAATCAGGAATAGCACACCGTGTTTGGACCCATCAACACAACATCGAGTGGTCCCAAGCTGAGATCTTGCACAGCGAGGAACATTGGTTTAGGAGAAAATTCAAGGAAGCCGCATACATGTTGTCCAACAACGTATTCAGCCAAGCCAGCGTAGAAATACGCAACATATGAAAACCCATCATCAAGCGAAAAATGGCCAACTCCCGCCAAAACGGTCATCTCCCACGGAACCAGTGAAGCGGAAAATGGAAAGCAGGGGATAAGTGAAAGTATTTCGAACGACCTATAAATAGTCATCTCTCGGAGGAATCAGTCCAGTCATCACCCGAAGACGATTGTAGATACTAACAATCGAAACGTCGTGAACTAACGTGACTTGGAATCTCTCCACTTTTTATTTTTATTTTCTTTTTTCATTTCTTTATTTTCATTTATTCAATTGTTCTATTTTTACTTGTATTTTATTTCACTATTATTTCATTTCAGGTTTATTTTGGTTAATATAATTGTTATTTTCAGCTATTCATTTTCAATTCTTAGTTGTTTCAGGAATTTCAAATCATTTTATATAGTAGACAATGGAAGTCCGAACTAGTGAAATTCATCATGAAACATTGTCAATCACCTTCAAACAAAAATATTGCTCTCTCACGTGGTGGTGCTGTTGCGAATCATTATTATTCAAGCAAATTAAACTGATTTTCAATGTTTCTTAATATCCTAAGTGAAAAAAATCTTTGTTATTTACTGACTGATTTCCTATTTTTCCTAATAACCTGAGTAAAAAATATCTCTTCTTAACTGAATAGATGTCTCCATCAATTCAATTTCACTTATTCAACTCAACAATATTTCCAACATCTATGGGCGGTTATTTCTTCAAACTGAAACTTACACATGTAATGACATGAAGTTACTATCTTCAAGTTGGCGAATCAACCGCAAACGTATCATAATAAGGTAGACATTCTAAAGGAAAAATGCACATGGTGTTGATATAATTTATGTGCAAGGACTTCTAAAACGAGACTATCTTACCTACACGTTTTGTGAACTTGGACGCGGCTTGGTTTCGAACATTCGCCTACCGGACCACCGATCTCAAACCTTGAATGTAACTGACCAATGGTGACTTGAAACTTGAAACACGTGAACATATTTTTTTTGAATGATGAAATAGACACCCAGTATACGTTATCAAGCCAAGTTACTTCACGACGGTTCGATTGTTAGTATTCACAATCCGAATTTCTACTCACAACACATTTTATTGTTTTAAAACTATGAAAAACTATTATTTATTCTCACGTCAAATACTCTCGGAAATTATAATATAGGAACATGATGCCAGACTATGTCTGCATACGATACTTAGATTGGCTTTTAATGAGGGAAAGTGATGTATTTAACCCGGGGATTCCCCGCGATAACATCTGAACGCCAAGTAATGGTGCCAGACTAAATAAAAACGAATGATAAGAAAAGACAAAGATGAGAATTTTTTCAATTTAATTGTTTTATAATATAATATAGCTTATCAGAAACATAAATATATTCACGAATTTTCCATTCATATGCTCTTGTGTTATTAATAAAAAAATTATTGACTTGTATTTATGGATTTTCAATAATTAATAAAACTATTTTCGGCTTTGAGACGCGAAGCCCTTTGCACTGCGAGTTCGTGGGCGGTAACCTACGCGCCTCAGTGTATGATATCGATGTAATTCCATTACGAATGGTACTCAAATTCAATAGGAACGTCAGCGGCGGCTCGTCAGAGCAGGCAAGGGAGGCTTA